AAAAATTAGCTGGGCGTGGTGGCGCGCGCGATTGTAGTCCCAGCTACTCAGGAGGCTGAGGCAGGAGAATCGCTTGAACCCAGGAAGCGGAGGTTGCAGTGAGCAGAGATCGCGCCACTGCGCTACAGTCTGGTGCCTGGCAACAGAGCGGGGCTCTGTCTCAAAAAGAAAAAAAGAAAGAAACATTTATGTATGTATGAATTTGAGGCAGGGTCTCATTCTATCGCCCTGGCTGGAGTGCAGTGGTGCAATCTGGGCTCACTGCAGCCTCGACCTCCTAAGCACAAGCGATTTTCCTGCCTCAACCTCCCGAGTAGCGCCCCCGCCACCACACCTGGCTAACACTTATTCTTTTATCTGAAATTTACATTTAACCAGGCGGACTGTATTTTTATTTGCTTGACAACTCAACGGGATCCTCTCCGAGGTTACATCCGGAAGGAAGTCGGTGTTAACTGGACGAAGAGTGTATGAGGAGTGTTCTAGGCTGCTAAGTGATGCGTGCAAAGCTCCTAAGGCAGGGCTTGTTACAATTATCTGTCACAGCTCTACTGGGGTGGTTGAAGTTATCGACACCAGGAATCTTCCCCAATCAGGCCCATCCTTCCCACGTCCTCTCTTAGTCAAATCACGCCCATCTCACATTCCAAACCGCGTCTCCAGGGTCCGGAGTTTGTAGATGGGGAAACTGAGGCTCCGAGGCTGGGACCAGAAGGAAGCAAGGGTGGGGACGAATTGGAGAATACACAATCAGTGAGGGCGGGGACCAGCAGCAGAGAGCGACGTAGGCGGGCGAGAACGAAACCCAGAAAACAACACGGGCGGAGACGAGAACCAAAGAGCTAGGCGGGCGAACTCAGCTGAGAACCCGAGAGTGACGCACGCGGCCGGGAAGGAGAATCGAGGTTTGGCTCGGGCGGGGACGAGAAGCAGCGCTCGCGCGAGCGAGGAAGGCAGCCGGCGCGGGCGGGCGCGGCCTTTGTCTCCTCCTCCCGCGCGCTCGGCGGCGACACCCGCCCCATGAGCCCGCGGCCCCCAGGCGCCCGGGCCGTCCGTAGCCCCTGACCTGACCTATCCTTGCCATGGCCGAGGCCGCCTCCGGCGCCGGGAGCACGTCCCTGGAGGGCGAGCATGGCAAGAGGCCCCCGCCGGAGGGCGAGCCTGCAGCCCCGGCGTCCGGAGTTCTGGGTATGTGTGTGGCGGCTGGACCAGACAGGGTTGCAGGTGCCTGGGGAGCCCGCGTCGACTGCACGGGGAGGAGGATCGAGGTCAAACGTCCCTGGCGTGGTGTCTGGATGAGGGGCCGGCTCCTCCCGGCAATGCGGCTGCGGCCCGGCGGGCGGGGCTGGGACGGTGCATCGGGCTGGGGTCCCGGAGCGGAGATGCGGACACGCCCCTCCGAAAGCCCCAGCCTTGGGCTGCGCCCCGCCACCGGGGGGCTGTGGGATCGCGGCGGGGCAGGGATGCGCTTGAGAGAGACTCTCCGCGAAGAATAGAGAATCATACGGTCCTGGGTTCAAATCCCAGCTCGACTGTGTGACCTTGGGCGCGTGACTTAAACGCTATGGGCCTCAGTTTCCTCACCTGTGAAATGGGGGTAAGAACCGCACCCAGTTCCTGGGGCTGCTGCAAGGACGGCGCTGTCATAATGTGGTGAAGCGCTCAGGGCTGCTAGTGAGCACCCCATCGATTGTGGTTTTGGAGGCGGAGCTGGGCCTCAAGAATGAGTAAGATTTGTAAGGGAGGACCTGGGGGGAAGGGCATTTCTGGAGGAAGGCCTGGCTGGTGCAAGGACGTGGAGGGAGGAAAATAAGCCAAGGCCAGAGCTCCTGGGGCCTTGGATGCCAGGCCGAGTGATGAGGAGCCCTGGCGGGGACCAGAGGGACCCAGACTGGAGGCTGGGATCTCGATCCCATTGTGGCCTGACCCGGGCCTGCTACGCCGTCCCCCAGATAAGCTTTTCGGGAAGCGGCTCCTGCAGGCGGGTCGCTACCTGGTGTCCCACAAGGCGTGGATGAAGACGGTGCCTACAGAGAACTGCGACGTGCTGATGACCTTCCCAGGTACCCACGCCTGCCCGCCCGCCCAGTGCCCAGATGCGGCTCTCCTGAGCTCAGCTTCCCAGAGCGGGAATATGTAGGCCTTGGGCCCCCTCGTGGCAAGAGCCATCGGTCCCTGTGCCCCTTGGCAGACACAACCGATGACCACACGCTGCTATGGCTGCTGAACCACATCCGCGTGGGAATCCCCGAGCTCATCGTGCAAGTCCGCCACCACCGCCACACGCGTGCCTACGCCTTCTTTGTCACCGCCACGTATGAGAGGCGAGTCCCCTGTCCCCGGCCTCTTGCTGAGCCTGCCACCCGGCTCCCCGCTCTACCAAGTGCCAACCATGCTATCCAGCCGCCCTGCGTTTGTCCCAAAGGCTGCCGGATGCACCATCCTCAGGTCCAGGATGGTGGGTCAGGGCCTCCTTGTGAGCCCACCTCCTCCGCCTTCTTCACAGCCTACTCCGAGGGGCCGACGAGCTGGGTCTGCGCAAGGCAGTGAAGGCCGAATTTGGCGGGGGCACCCGCGGCTTCTCCTGCGAGGAGGACTTTATCTATGAGAATGTGGAGAGCGAGCTGCGCTTCTTCACCTCCCAGGTGAGGCCAGCTCTGGGCCCCCGCAAGCATCCTGTGATCTATGAGTTCCCTGAGCTCACGCCCTCTTCCTCGCAGGAACGCCAGAGCATCATCCGCTTCTGGCTGCAGAATTTGCGTGCCAAACAGGGAGAGGCGCTCCACAACGTGCGCTTCCTGGAGGACCAGCCAATCAGTGAGCAGGGCGGGACCAACACCAATCACAGGCAGAGAGTAGAGTGGAGCTCTTCAAAGGCAGCCTATCGGAGCAGGAGGGCGGGGCCTAAATCCAACCAGTCAGGGATTGGCAAAGAGGGAACCAATGAGCTAAAGGGTGTGGTCTTAGTGAAAGGGTGGAGCCTATCTCCTGAGTTGGGTGGAGCTCTTAGAGGACAGCTTATCAGGGAAGGAGGGCGGGGCCTAGGTCCAACCAGTTAGGGGTTGGGAAAAGTTGGGAAACCAATGAGCTGAGGGGGCGTGGCTTTAGCCAAAAGGTGAGACATTTCTGGGAGGTGGGTACAGAAGAGGCCCTTTTCTGAGTCTGGGATAAGATGGAGGCAGGGACTATGGACAGCCCTCCACTTACTGTGTGGTGCGGCTCTGGGCCTTGGTTTCCCCACCAGCAAACCAGCCACCCAAGTTCACCTCCCAACAGCAACTTTTTACCATTCATCAGATGTTCAGGTCCACAAACTGAGCTTTATTTAAAACATGGGAACGGGCACGGTGGCTCACGCCTGTAATCCCAATACTTTGGGAGGTCGAGGCAGGAGCATGACTTGAGCCCAGGAGTTCGAGGATGCAGTGCGCTACCATAGCGCCACTGCACTTTGTCCAGCCTGGATGACAGACCAAGACCCTGTCTCAAAATAAACAAATAAATACATAGAATAAAAAATAAAAACATGGCTCCTCACCAGGACCCCACCCTCCTGGTTCCCTTGCATCCTCCCTGCCTGCACCAGCACCTACCGAATTCTGCAGGAGAATCAGATTTTTTATCCATCTAGAACTCCTCCCCTGGAAAGAGCTCAGAGGTTTAAGAGCAGGCAAAAAGCTGTGACTTGGGCTTCAGACAAAGGGGGCTAGCCAGGCTGGGCTCTGGTGGAGGGCAGGGATCACCTGTGCTCCTCTATCCACAGTCCCTGAGCTGGCAGCCCGTGGAATCATCCAGCAGGTGTTCCCTGTCCACGAGCAGCGTATTCTGAACCGCCTCATGAAGTCATGGGTGCAGGCCGTGTGTGAAAACCAGCCTCTAGGTGCGGCCTGGGCTGGGGGGATGGGAGGGAGTCACAGCAGACAGGCAGGGGGTGACTGAGACCCTCTTGTCCCCTGGCAGATGACATCTGTGATTACTTTGGCGTGAAGATTGCTATGTACTTCGCCTGGCTGGGCTTCTACACATCAGCTATGGTATACCCAGCTGTCTTCGGGTCTGTCCTGTACACATTCACAGAGGTTGATCAGGTACTGGGAGGGTACCCTGCAAGGCCTGGGGGACCCAGAGGTGCCCTCCTTTCTGGATCAGCACAGACAATGACTAAACTCTCTTCTGCTACTCACAGACAAGCCGGGATGTTTCCTGCGTGGTCTTTGCCCTCTTCAATGTGATCTGGTCAACACTTTTCCTAGAGGAATGGAAGCGAAGAGGGGCTGAGCTGGCATACAAGTGGGGGACGCTGGACTCACCTGGGGAAGCCGTGGAGGAGCCACGCCCCCAGTTCAGGGTCAGTTGGGGGCTGAGTCCAGGGTCATGGAGACTGAGTAAAGGTAAATGGTTGGGGGTACTGCAGAAGCAAGGTGTGAAATACGGCTGCTCCGACAAAGAGGGTATGCAAAACCAAGGCGGGCTCTGTGTGTTTCCCAAGGGGATGGATTGGAGGGACTGGGAACAGTGGCCTAGGTGGGTGGCCCGAGAAGGAATGATGGAGAGAAATTGAGTTCTGAGGATAGAGAGCGGTGCGGGAGGCAGAGGTGGCCTCTCTGAGCTCATGCTGAACCTGCCCTTGCCCACCTGTAGGGTGTGCGCCGCATCAGCCCCGTCACGCGAGCGGAGGAGTTCTACTACCCGCCTTGGAAGCGGCTGCTCTTCCAGCTGCTCGTCAGCCTCCCCCTATGCCTGGCGTGCCTCGTCTGTGTCTTCTTGCTCATGCTTGGCTGCTTCCAGCTGCAGGTGACCCCTGTACCTCCACCCGCCCTGTCCTTGATGCCCAGCTCCACCTTGGAGCTGTCCTGTAGCCGGGATGAGCCCTGAACGCCCTGCTCCCACAGGAGCTGGTGCTGAGCGTGAAGGGGTTGCCCCGTCTCGCCCGATTCCTGCCTAAGGTCATGCTGGCTCTGCTTGTCAGTGTGAGTGCCGAGGGCTACAAGAAGCTCGCCATCTGGCTCAACGACATGGGTACGCGCTGCCAGGGGGTCCCAGGGAGGAAGGTCCCCACTGCCCCTTAGGATCCCTGCCACCCTTGAGGGGACGCAGCTGCCCTCTCACTCTTCCCCTCGGCTTCTAGAAAATTACCGGCTGGAGAGTGCCTATGAGAAGCACCTCATCATCAAAGTTGTCCTGGTGAGTCACCACCATCGGGCAGGCAGGGGGACAGAAAGGAAGCTGTGGGATCTGCATGGGGTTACAGGGAAGGCTCCTGGGGGTGGGATGGGGTGCAGGGTGACGACCGCCTGCCTCCTTCCTGCAGTTTCAGTTTGTCAACTCGTACCTGAGCCTCTTCTACATCGGTTTCTACCTCAAGGACATGGAGCGCTTGAAAGAGGTGAGACTCCCGTCCCAGCGGCAGTCCCCCCTGCCCCCATGGCGGCCAGCGAGGGGCCAGACATGGCGCAAGGGGTCCAAGGGCTCTCCAGCCCCTCCCTCCCCTCCTCCATCCTTCTCTCCTGTCTGTCCGTCCGTTGTCTGTGCGTCCTCTCTCTGCCTGTCGTCCTCTCCATCTGTCCGTCCATCTGTCCGTCGGTCCCTTCACAGCTCCTGCTCGTCCTGTCCCTGTCCCAGAGCCTCGAGCGGCAGCTGCGGGCGGTGCTGGTCCCGCTCGCGGCCCTGCGGTTCCGCCTGCTCCTCCTCTCCCTCCGGGGCCTCCTGCTCGCGGCCCGGGCCAAAGTACGGGCAGGTGGCGAGCCCGCGGGGCCTCGCCGGGGTGGGCAGCGTGGCTTGTGCCGGGGGCCGGGCGCACCGAGCTGAAGGCGCATGCGCGGAAGGGGGGGTGTGGGGGGGGGGTCCGCAAGCCCGCGGTGGGATGGAGACCCGCTGGCCTGCCCGGGAGGTTGGCGAGGAGCGCTGCGCGTGCCAGGCTGTGGTTTGTGGCTGAGCGCTGGGGCCCTCGCGTCCAGATGCGTCCAAAGCAGCGGAGTTAGGAACCGGGTTCGGCGTGTCTGGGCGAGGTGCTCCGGCGGGGATCCCGGGGAGAACGAGTACCCCAATCCCGGCGCCCCGCTTGCCCCCCACGCGCTTCTCTCCGCCCCCTTCCTGCCCCCAGATGCTGGCCACACTGCTGATCACCCGCCAGTTCCTCCAGAACGTGCGTGAGGTCCTGCAGCCACACCTGTACCGGCGCCTGGGCCGCGGCGAGCTGGGCCTGCGGGCCGTCTGGGAGCTGGTCCGGGCCCTGCTTGGCCTCCTGAGCCTCCGGCGCCCTGCGCCCCGCCGTCTCGAACCCCAGGCCGATGAGGGCGGGGGCGGCGGCGGCGGCGCGGGGGGCCGCAGGTGCCTCAGCGGGGGCTGCGGGGCGCCGGAGGAGGAGGAGGAGGCAGAGGAGGAGGCGGCGCCGGTGGAGCGGCGGCGGGCGGGGGAAGGCGGGGAGGAGGGGGACGGGCCTCCCGGGGGCAAGGAGGAGGACGAGGAAGATGACGAGGAGGAGGACGAGGAGGAAGAGGAGGACGAGGAGGAGGGCGAGGAAGGGGCCCTCCTGGACTGCGGGCTCCGGCTGAAGAAGGTCAGCTTTGCTGAGCGCGGGGCGGGGCGGCGTCGGCCCGGCCCAAGCCCCGAGGCCCTCCTGGAGGAGGGGAGCCCCACCATGGTGGAGAAGGGGCTGGAGCCGGGCGTGTTCACCCTGGCCGAGGAGGACGACGAGGCGGAGGGGGCTCCCAGCAGCCCTGAACGGGATCCCCCAGCCATTCTGCTCCGCCGGCCCGGGGGCGAAGGTCGAGACCAGGGGCCCGATGGGGGCCCGGACCCGGAGCCCGGCTCCAACAGCGACCCGACACGTAGGCAGAAGCGGCAGAACCGGTCGTCTTGGATTGACCCACCCGAAGAGGAACACTCGCCTCAGCTCACCCAGGCGGAGCTGGAGAGCTGTATGAAGAAGTACGAGGTGAGGAGGGGGCGGGGCCTCAGAGGGGCGGGGCACACAGTCCGAGGGTGGAGGCCGCAGGGGCGGGGCGGTGGCAGTAACAGGGCCCTTGATGTTGTTGGGATGCTGCAGGAGAGGAAGGCCTAGCCAGATGGAGGAAGCCCCTAAACTGGCCAAGGATGGGACAGGCCCTGGGTCCACGTGAGGGAGGCGGGCTCAATGGGAGGAAGATTGTCCTGGGGAAGAGGCTTCCAGGTCTGAGGCCCGCCCGCCCGCAGGACACGTTCCAGGACTACCAGGAGATGTTTGTGCAGTTCGGCTACGTCGTGCTCTTCTCGTCGGCCTTCCCCCTGGCAGCGCTGTGCGCCCTGGTCAACAACCTCATTGAGATCCGCAGCGACGCCTTCAAACTGTGCACCGGGCTGCAGCGGCCCTTCGGCCAGCGCGTGGAGAGCATTGGCCAGTGGCAGGTGGGGGGAAGCCAAGAGCCCCAAGCTGAGGCCCAGAGGGAGCCTGGGTGCAGCTGGGAGGAGCCTGGGGTCTGGGGAGGCCGGCAGGACTCCACCTGAGCCTTCCTCCCACCCTGCAGAAGGTGATGGAGGCTATGGGTGTCCTAGCCATTGTGGTCAACTGCTACCTAATCGGCCAGTGCGGGCAGCTACAGCGCCTCTTCCCCTGGCTGAGCCCGGAGGCAGCCATCGTATCCGTGGTGGTGCTCGAGGTGGGGCTGGTGACAGGGGCAGGGGCAGCTGGGAGGCGGGAGGGCGGTCCCAGTGTCTGCAGCCTCCTCTCTGTGCCATCCCTTCAGCACTTTGCTCTGCTCCTCAAGTACCTCATCCACGTGGCCATCCCCGACATCCCGGGCTGGGTGGCCGAGGAAATGGCCAAGCTGGAGTACCAGCGCCGCGAGGCCTTTAAGGTAGGGGGGCCAGGCTGGGCTCTGTTTTCTCCTTGGTGGGGCTGCTGGTGGGTCTCTGATCTTGGTGGCCAATTCCTCAGCATGAGGACAAATGCAGAGACTGCACAGAACTGGGTATAATAATCAGTGCTCCCTGGCTGGGTGCAGTGGCTCACTCCTATAATCTCAGTGCTTTGGGAGGCTGAGGCAGGAGGATCGTTTGAGCCAAGGAGTTCGAGGCTGCAGTGAGCTGTGATCGCGCCACTGCACTCCAGCCTTGGTGATGAAGCAAGAGTCTATCTCTAAAAAGAGTAATAATAAGTAATAATAACTAGGGCTCACCACGGGTCCAGTGGCTTCTGGAATCCTGGCAGCATCCAGGACCAGGCTGGCCCTTCAGAACCTTCTGCCATCCACCAGCTTGCCCGACTGCACCCTGTTAGGGGGCCAGGGACACAGCAGATGCTTCCTAGAAGGCCAGCTCCTTCCGCATTCCTCAGAAAGCTACAGAATGGGCCAAGGAGCTCCCCAGTGCCTGCACAGGGAACATTCCTCGAGGATGACAATGGCCTATCTCTGCACCGTCCCTGTGACCTTTAGCTACAATGAGCATGTTGAAGTGGGGCTGCTGTGACCAAGGAACTGACTTTCTATTTTATTGAACATGAATGCGTTGAAGTTTACATTGACAGAGTGTCGCACATGGCTACCTGGCTGTAGTCAGCCACGGGCTTTTTTTGTTTGTTTTTTTGAGAGAGAGAGAGTCTCTCTCGCTCTGTCATCCAGGCTGGAGTGCAGTGGCACAATCTCGGCTCACCGCAACCTCCCCCTCGTAGGTTCAAACAATTCTCGTGCCTCCCAAGTAGCTGGGACTACAGACACACGCCACCACACCCGGCTAACTTTTGTATTTTTAGTAGAGATGGGGTTTCACCATGTGGGCCAGGCTGGTCTCGAACTCCTGACCTCAAGTGATCTGCCTACCTCCCCCGGCCTCCCAAAGTGCTGGGATTATAAGCGTGAGATACTACCCCCGGCCTGCAGCCACAGTTCTGTCTCTTGCCTGTTCTCTGGGAAGCAGGTTCTCTGGGAGCCAAGATCTCTTGCCTGTTCTCTGGTTGAGGCTCAGATTTGGTTTCCATTTTACCAATTCCTAAGATGCTGTCTGGCATACAGCCGGGGACAGAGTTGATGGCCAGTGAATGTTTGTTTTCAGTTCCCAGAAAGTACCGGCGTGGGTCCAGGGATTCTTTCAGTTGCACCCAATAAGCCTCAGAATCTCTCTCCATTTCCCCAGAGAACCTCAGTGTGGGCCCAGGAAGCGGTTGGCACCCAATAAGTGATTGGATCTCTCCCACTTCTACAAAGAGCTCCAGTGCAGGCCCAGACATGCAATTGGCGCCCAGTAAGCTTTTTTTTTTTTTTTTTTTTTTTTTTNCCTAGACAATCTAAATATGAACTTTTCTATTTAAAGGTTACTGTTAATGTTTTTTAGACCCTTAATTACAACAACAAAAATATAAGGAATTTTTGTTTTTGTTTTAAATATAAGGAATTAACATAAGCTTTATAACATGTGTTGTTGCAATCGCTCCTCACTACAGCTCATCATATTTTTTTTTTTTTTGAGACGGAGTCTTGCTCTGTCGCCCAAGCTGGAGTGGAATGGCGCGATCTTGGCTCACTGTAACCTCCATCTCCTGGGTTCAAGCAATTCTCCTGCCTCAGGCTCCCAAGTAGCTGGGATTTAGAGGCTTGTGCCCCCCCGGTCAGCATTTTTTTTTTGTTTGTTTTGTTTTGTTTTTTTTTTGAGATGGACTCTCTCTGTTACCCAGGCTGGAGTCCAGGGGCATGATCTCAGCTCACTGCAACCTCTGCCTCCTGGGTTGAAGCAATTCCTCTGCTTCAGCCTCCTGAGTAGCTGGGACTACAGGCACATGCCACCACACCCAGCTAATTTTTGTATTTTTAGTAGAGATGGGGTTTCACCATATTGACCAGGCTGATCTTGAACTCCTGACCTTGTGGTCTGCCCGCCTCGGCCTCCCAAAGTGCTGGGATTACAGGAATGAGCCACCGCACCCTGCCACTCAGCCAATTTTTATATATTTGGTAGAGACGGGGTTTCACCATGTTGGCCAGGTGGGTCTCGAACTCCTGGCCTCAAGTGACCTCCGCCTCCCAAAGTGCTGGGATTACAGGCATGAGCCACCATGCCAGGCCCCAATAAGCATTTAAGCCTCCCTGACTTCCACAGGGAGGCCCAGCATGTACCTGGGAATGCAGTTGACACCCAATAAGTGATTGGATCTCTCCCACTTCTGCAGGGAGCCCCCAGTGTGGGTGCAGGGATGCAGTTGGAGCCCAATACGCATTTGAGTCTCCCCCACTTCCACAGAGAGCCCTGGCATGCACCAGCCTCGGCTGGCACCTGCTAACACCCTTTCTTCTTAGTCCTGTAACGGCTTGGCTCTACCTGCAGAGACACGAACGCCAGGCCCAGCACCGCTACCAGCAGCAGCAGCGCAGGCGGCGGGAGGAGGAGGAGCGACAGCGCCACGCGGAGCACCACGCCCGGCGAGAGCACGATGCTGGTGGCCGGGAGGAGGCGAGGGCCGAGGGCTCCGGGCTGGACCCCACCACCTCCTCCGAGAAGGCCTCTGCCAAGGCCAAGGGCAGCGCTGCAGGTGGCCACGGGCCTGAACGGCCCAAGCGCCCAGGCTCCCTGCTAGCGCCCAACAACGTCATGAAGTTGAAGCAGATCATCCCACTGCAGAGCAAGTTCCTCTCATCGGGGGCCACATCCTCACTGGCCGCTGCAGGGGCCGGGGCCACCGCCCGGCCTCCCCCTGCCCAGTCGCCCACGGGCAGTGACACCCGCCTGCCCGCCTTCCTCAGCTTCAAGTTCCTCAAGTCGCCCGAGACCCGGCGGGACTCTGAGCGCAGCCACTCGCCGCCCAAAGCCTTCCACGCCAGCAAGCTCTTCCCCTTTGGTGGCACCCGGGCTGAGCCTGGGTCCAACGGGGCGGGCGGGCAGGCCCGGACAGACGGGACCCCCAGCAGTGGCAGCAGCCGGGTTCAGAGGAGTGGGCCGGTGGACGAGGCCATGGTTGAGGAGCTGGAAGCCCCCCGGCCCGAAGAGGAAGGCTCAGGTCACAAGCTTTAACTCGGGGGTGGGGACGCCGGGCCGGCTTTGGGGGTAGGGTAGGGTGGCCAGGCCTGGGGAGAGGGGCTGAAGGGGACAGAGGAGGCCCAGTCATGGGTCCTGGCAGGGACCTGGGTCTGTGGCACACAGAGCATCTCAGTGAAAGCCTGATTAGTGTCTCCAGGGCCTTTGTTAGCCCGGAGCCCTGTGCCTGACCCTCCCAGGGAGGGATGCCAAAGCCCCTTGTCCCAGGACTGCACCCAGGGATCCCCCACCATGCTCCAGTGCCAGGAGAGATGAGGGAGGCCCGTTTCCCATCCAGCTGGCCCTTCTCCTGCTCCAGCTCACTCTGGGGGGGGACTGGACCCCCCAGGCCTCTATGCAAATCCACACCCTGCAGCCCAGCTGTTCAGGAAGGCCTTCCTCGGAGGTGGGGCTGGAGCTGCCCACCCAGGGAGCTCCCACATGTGCTGAAGCAGAGGTGCAGGCCTCACCCCTACCCTCTCACCACCTCCCCTGCCCCAATCCCAGCCTGAGTTCCAGCAGCTCCTCCGTAGGAGCCCACCAGGTAGCAGCTGCAGCACAAGGGCCATAGGTCAGAAGCCAGAGGGACTTCCTCAAACTGTCCTCCCCATGACTGGGAGGGGCCGTGCCCAGAGGCAGGGTATGCACTGGAAGCCGCCCAGGCGGCCGCCCACCTCGGTCTCAGATCAGAAGCAATAAGGCCTTTACGTGCCTGGAAGCCCGGGAGGGACTGTGGGCAGGGTCGCCAGCCCGGCGGGGTCCGGCGGGGGCGGCATCCCCCCGGAACGGCCCCTCTCGCCTCCGCAGGGACAGCGCTGGCCCCCGTGGTCGCCCCTGCCCTCCGTACGCGCCGCAGCCGGAGCCCCGCGCCACCGCCGCCAATGCCGCTGCCCCGGCCTCCGACGCCGCCCGCCGGCTGCTGGCAGTGGGATGGGCCCTGGGGCTGCGGGGGCGAGGGCGCCGCCCCTCGCCAGACCCTGGCCGCCGCCGAGTGCCCGCCCTGTGCCATGGCCGGGCCCCCACCCGCCCCCCCGCCCCTGCCGGGGGACGCCAGCTTTTACAGCCTCCCGCCCCCACCGCTGCCGCCCACCTCGGAGCCCCCCGAGACCCCAGCGCCCTCACCCAGCCCCAGCCCCAGTCCCCAGGCCGTGTGCTGGCCCAGCGGCTGGCATTAGCTCTGCCCGCCCTGCCTTCTCTTCTCATATGCAATATCAGTCATTCACAGGGGCAGCCGGCCCCCAAAATGCAAGATGCGCTTCAGCCCCCACGGCCCCAGTATTGGCCGGCGCCCCCCATCTGCCGTTTTCCTTTCGACCAGGATGAGGGAATTGAAAGGAAACCCACAAAACCAACAGAAAACACAAACACACACACACGCACACACATACAGAATAGGCGATTATTTATTTGTTTTTAATTTATTTTGTCATATTTTTGTAAAACGGCAGAAATGCAATAAAAAGTATATTTCAACAGTGCCCGAGGTCAGAGCGGTGGAAAAGGGGGTGGGGGTGGGGGGAGTCTGAGTGGCTGGGGCCTGGGTTAGGCGTCACCCTCCCCCTATCCTGGTACAGGCTGGCTTGACCCGTGGGGGCCTCCTCCCAAAAACTGGGTCTCGGTCACAGATGGAAAACTCCAGGCTGTGCCGCCTCTGAGACGGCCCAGATTTGGAGGCCAACTTCAGTTCTGGCTTCAGCCACTAGACAAAGGAAGAAATCTCAAAGTGCTGAAAAGAGGCGGTATTATGTGCACGGGCCAGGTCCTGAATAAGCCTCCTTCTCAAAGAGGGACAAGGCAAAGACTCGCCTTTTTTGGCACACCCACCTCCCAGAACGTCATCTGGGGGGAGCCAGGGCCGGCGGGAAGAGCTTATGGCATGAACATCGGAAGGCACCTGAGCCCCGTGCGGTCCCCAAGTTGCAATACTGAGGGAACAGCACATTTGGGTGTTCCTGGAACAGACACAGGGTGGTATTGGGACGAAGTAGGGATGTCCCACTGTGCAATGGACGTCAGACTCAAGTCACTGGGACTCTGTCTTATGACTCAGGAACAGGACATGGCCTCTCAGACCCTCGCGTTTGTCAGGAAGAAGAGGACAAATGTGTCCACGTGCAAAAATGTAAGGCTCAGGCCCATGTGGCCACACTGCAGGGCTGGACCAGGGGGCCTGGCTGGGGCCGGTGTGAGCAAGGGGCACTTCAGGAGTCTGTGGGGAAGTCAGAGTTCACTGGAGGCAGGACAACAGTCTGTGCAAAGGCGGAGAAGGTGGAAGACAGAGTTTGGGGGAACAGTGGGGTAAGGGGACCCCAAAGACAGGAGGGGTAGGCAGAGGCTGGCTCAGGGGCCCGGTGTCCTCCCCCAGGCGGTGGGAGCCACAGAGGGTGTGTGCCAGACAAGGCATGTCCCGACAGACCCAGGGGTTCTAGGGGGAGGCCACAGGGAGGCAGAGCTGGGGTACAGCTGTGAGACCCCATCTGAGTGAGCAGAGGCAGGGGAGGGGAAGGAGGTGACCACATGGGAGCCCTGCAGAGCCATGGACAGACAGCACAGGCAGGAGATGGCCCCCAGCCACTCAAAGTGGAAACGGGGGGCTGGAGAGGTATAGACAGGCTGAGGGGAAGGGCGGGGATACCCCCTGCTCCCACTCTGGCCCCTGGCCTTGGAAGCTGAAGTCCCACCATCTCAGTCACTCACAGATGGACACCACAGGCCTGCCCAGGTCACACCAACCCTGGGGACTGGGACTCCCCACCTGGCCTGGAGCTTCCAGGGCGCTTGGCCCAACCCGCACCACCGACCACAGTCAAGTGTGCATTTCCTGACCACTTGCCCTGTGACCACACAGACCCTAAGAGAACGTACCCTACCCCTGTGGTGTAGACACTGCTGAGAGCTGAGAGGCACAGGTGGGTGGACGTGCTGGGCTGGGGCCAGCTCAGCCACTCCTTGTGTAGGATGAGAGCCCTTCCTGGCACCATCTGTCCTTGGGAGAGATGGGCCACGCAGGCCAGAGGGTCTGACCCAGGCAGGGCCCTCCCGCGGAATCTGGGGCAGGCAGACCCTCCATAGCCCGGCATCTCTGCTAGCTCCATGGCCCAACCCCACACATCCCAATGCCCTCACACTCAGCTCTCAAAACCAAGACCTCTGCCAGGCATGGTGGCTCATGCCTGTAACCCCAGTACTTTGGGAGGCTGAGGAAGGCAGATGGCTTGAGCCCAGGAGTTTGAGACCAGCCTGGGCAACATGGCAAAACCCCATCTCTACAAAAAACTTTTTAAAAACTAGCCAGGCGGCCGCACTCAGTCCCAGCACTTTAGGAGGCCGAGACAGACAGATCACCTGAGGTCGGGAGTTTGAGACCAGCCTGGCTCACATGGCAAAACCCTGTCTCTACTAAAAATAGCAAAATTAGCTGGGTGTGGTGGCGGGCACCTGTAATCCCAGCTACTTGGGAGACTGAGGTAGGAGAATCACTTGAACGTGAAAGGTGGAAGTTATAGTGAGCCCAGATCTTGCCACTGTACTCTAACCTGGGCAACAGAGCAAGACTCCATCTCAAAAAAAAAAAAATTAGCCACGCATTGTGGCATGTGCCTGTGGTCCCAGCTACTTGGGAGGCCGAGGTGGGAGGAATGCTCGAGGTCAAGGCTGCAGTGAGCTGTGATTATACCACTGCACTCCAGCCGGGGCAACAGGGTGAGACCCTATCTCAAATGAAACAAAAACAAACAAAGGAAAACTGACACCCCCATCAAGTGGGGGCGATTAGGGGAGAGGTGGTGTTCCCCTAGCCTTAGGCTTAGAGGTCAGGGCCACAAACCTTCTGCCCAGAGCCTTAACACCCCTTACATACCCAAGCTCAGCCCAAAAGCCAGGCCCGCTGGCGGAGGAGGGGCCCATGAGCAGCCATGGCACATGCCAACTCCCCAACATTCCGTGCAGCTCCTCTATGACCCAGCAGGGGTGAGGCCACCACCCAGGCCAGCAAGGCCAGCCAGATACCATCTGCGCTGTCACTGTGCCTCAGAGGAGTGGCAGAGGCCCTAGACCCCAGGCCCCCAGGTGAGGCTGGCCGTCTCTGCGGTAGCTGACAGGTGTGCTGCCCTGCTCGGCGGTATCCCAGGCGGAAGGCCGGCCCTGCTCCATCCTCAGCACTACGGACCGTCTCAGGAATGACCTGTCCTCGGGGTCACCTTGGCAGGAGAGGCAGAGGGGATGGTCCAGGCAGGTCTTGGCCTTGAGCATGATGGCCTCAGCAAGCTCATGAGAGAATCCAGCTGGTGCCGGGGCCCCTGACATGGGGGGCCCTTCTCATTCCTCTTGGTGACGACAGGGATGACTCCCAGAGGCTCCGTCCTCTGCGGTCAAGGTGTGTGGAGCAAAGACGCGAGGTCAAGTAGGAAAGACCCTTTTATTGGGGTGGACACGGAGCACTCACTAGTCCATGATAAAATGACTCAAGAGAAAGATCCCCAGGGCCAACTTCTCCCCGATATGCGCGCACGCTCAGAGTGAGGTCTGGGCATGGGAGAGCTCTGGGCGGAACATGGGACAAGACCGAGGCTCAAGGGCCTGGACCGGTGTTGGGGGAGAGAAGGCTGCTCGGCTGTCCTGATGGGTCCGGCCACCCCGGGCCCGTCCCTGCTGCCCGGCCACAGTGACGCCCCCGCTAGAGACCCTCACAAACACACTCTGGTTCTCTGGAGGAGAACTGGGGTTGGGAGTCGGGGAACTGGCCAGGTGGAAGGCGGGGGTCAGGGGGATAATGTTGTTTTTTTTTTTTAAAAAGCATCTACCAACATCACACTACTGGGTCTGACGTCCCCTTTAACCAACGCTTGATACAGGGTTACAGCATAAATAAAAACTCAAGGAAAATAAATACATCGGCTCCTATGCGGTTGGAGGTGGTGACGCAGGGTGTGGGCGGGCGGGCAGGGTGCTTACACATGGTGGGCGGGCGGGCGGGTGACCGAGGAGCAGACACGGCAGGAGGCGCCTATCGGGAGCGAGAGTCTTAAGTGTCCTCATGCATGTCTGGGCTGTCGGTCCGCGCCACCTTGCGGGGAGGCGCCGAGCTCTCGCCTTCCAGCTCCACTTGCTCCTGGTCTCTCTTCTTGGCAGCGTTCTGGTGACAGGGGAAAGAGAGGGGCTGTGAGTCTCTTTTTTTGGACAGGATCTCCCTCTGTTGCCTAGGCTGGAGTGCAGTGGTACAGTCATAGCTCACTGTAGTCTCAAGCTTCTGGTTCAAGCGATCCTCCCAGCTCAGCCTCCGGAGTAGCTGGGGCTACAGGCACACACCACCATGCTTACTATTTCTATTTTTGGTAGAGACGGGGGTCTCACTGTGTTGCCCAGCCCGAAGCTGCGAGTCTTCACGGGGGTGAAGCTCCCAGAGTCCTAATGCCAGCCCAGGCCCCCTGCAGCAGCATCACAGAGGTAGGCCTGGAGGGCAGTAGGGCGGCCCAGGGTACCCGGCTGGGCAGCCCCTCCTACCACCAGGACCTGCCCTGCTAAGCCCTGCCCAGGGCACATCCTGGACCCAAGGCTGGTGATAGACAGGTGTTTCCTGTGCACCTGGAGGAGTCACCACCACCGCTTTCGATGACCCACACAGGGCTGGTTTCTCAGGCACTCAAGAAGCGCAATCCACCCAGCTTTGGAAGCCAATGGGGATGCCGCACATTGACGCAAAAGAGAGAAGCACACGTCTCCTTCCTCACTGTGGGAACCAAGGCCTTGGGGGCAGAAGGGGCGGGGTTGGGCCTAGCAACTTGGATTTTCGGAAGCAGTCACTTTGTCACAGAGTCCCCCCACCTTCCAACTTTGTCCAGGGCAGGTCGCCAACCACTGTTCAAAGTTAGAAAAAAATCAAAATGACCACATTGCAGAATAACAGGGGGAGATTCTCATTAAGAAAAAAAAAAGGCCAAGCATGGAGCTCACACCTGTAATCCCAGCACTTTGGGAGGCCGAGACAGGTGGATCATTAGAGGTCACGTGTTCAAAACTAGCCTGGCCAACATGGTGAAACCCTGTCTCTACTAACAATACAAAAATTAGGTGGTATGCACTTGTAATCCCTGCTACTCAGGAGGCTGAGACAGGAGAATTGCTTGAACCTGGGAGGCGGAGGTTGTAGTGAGCCGAGATAGCGTCACTGCACTCCAGCCTGGGCGAAAGCATGAGACTCTGTTAAAACAAAAAAAAAAGACCACCTTAGGCAACATGGTGAAACTCCTAAAATACAAATACATGGTAGTACATGCCTGTAATCCCAGCTACTTGGGAGACTGAGGCGGGAGAATGGTTTGAGCCTGGGAGGAGGAGGTTGCAGTGAGCCGAGATCACGCCACTGTACTCCAGCCTGGGCAACAGAGTGAGAGTGAGACCTCCATCTCCAAAAAAAAAAGGAAAAGAAAAAGGAGAAAAAATGTCCCATGTGCAGAGCAGCCTCTGGGAAGAGAGTTGGGGCACCAGAGGCGGGGAAAGATGACTCTTCGCTGCAACTACACCCTCTCATTTTTAATTGATATTTTTTAAAGACAGGGTCTGGCTCTGTTGCCCAGGCTGGAGTGCAAAGGCACGATCACAGCTCACTGCAGTCTTGACCTCCTGGGCTCAAGCAATCCTCCTGCCTCACCCTCTTGAGTAGCTGAGATTACAGTAACATGCCTCTACAGCTGGCTAATTTTTTAATTCTTTTAATTTTTAGTGACAGGGTTTTGCTATGTTGCCTAGACTGGTCTCAAACTCCTGGTCTCAAGCCATCCTCTCGCCTCAGCCTCTCAAGCAGTTATGGGTGTGAATCACCACACCCAGCCACACCCGCTCCTGTTGCCTAGATTGATTGATTGATTGATTGATTTTGAGATGGAGTTTCACTGTTGTCGCCCAGGTTGGAGTGCAATGGCGCGACCTCGGCTCACCGCAACCTTCGCCTCCCAGGTTCAAGCGATTCTCCTGCCTCAGTCTCCCAAATGGCTGGGATTATAGGCATGCTCTACCACGCCTGGCTCATTTTTGTATTTTTAGTAGACACGGGGTTTTACCATGTTGGTCAGGCTGGTTTCAAACTCCTGACCTCGGGTAATCCACCTGCCTCAGCCTCTCAAAGTGCTGGGATTACAGGCATGAGCCACCTCGCCCAGCCCTAAGTTGCCTAGATTTTTAATCACGTATACACATTTCACCATTCAGAACAGATTCTATCTAGTTCATACCAATACACTCTACCTAATGCCAGGGCCAGGGGAAGCCTGAGGCTTTGGTGTCCAGCCTCCTGAGCACTGGTGTCCTGTGGCCTCTACATAGCGGTTCCTGCCACTGGAACGCTCTTCCCTCTCCTGGATCGCCCGGGGCCCTCCTACCCAGCCCTCAAGGCCCTGCTCCAGTCACTAGAGTCCTTCTGGTGCTCAGAGCCCCTGCCAGGCGCCTCATCTCTGTCCACCCGAAATCCCAGCACCAGACCCCTGCAGGCCTCACCTTTTTGTCCCATTGCTGATGCAGGTAGCGCAGAAGGATGTTTGTCTTTTCTGTCACGATGACTAAGGAGGAAAGACAGAGAAAGTCGCAGACACCTCCCCTACCTGGGCTCCTCGCCTGACACTGCCCTTAGGAGGTCATTCTGGGGCTGGAATTCAATACCCCCGACTCCAGAGATCTCCAAACGTCCCATGTTTTTGCTTCTGAATACACATGGCCACTGCCAGAGGCCTGAGCCAGCTGCCTGCAGGGCCGCTGCTCCCTGTGCAAGGGATTCCAAGGGCCGGCACTGACGCTCTCCTGCCTGTGTTTCTCCCAGCAGACTAGGAGCACATGTTGCGTCGCTGTACCTAGTGACCACACAGCCCTACCACGCAGGCTCTGATAAATGCTTTCAGAGCAGGGTCTCACTCAGTCACCCCGACTGGAGTAATCATAGCTCACTGCAGCCTGGAGCTCCTGGGCTCAAGTGATCCTCCTGCCTCAGCCTCCCAAGTAGCTGGGACTATACACAAACGCCACCATGCCCAGCTAACATATATATATGTATGTGTATATGTATACATATATGAATATGTATATATATGCATACGTGTGTATATATATACATACACATGCTTTTTGGTGGAAACAGGGTCTCACTATGTTGTTCAGGCTGGTCTTGAACGCTGGCTTCAAGCAATCCTACTGCTTTGGCCTCCCAAAATGCTAGGGTTATAGGTGGGAGCCACCTGCCTGGTGTGGAGTCTTTTTGAACATTTAAACTAAAACAGCAGGACCAAGTCCTCCTGTGCTGTGGGCCCCTCCACCTGGACCCCCTTCCCCTCACTGCCACCCAGGCATGGCTGGATCCCCAGCCCAGGCCGCTGTAGCCTCTGCGGCCTCCCTGCCCAACACTACTTGTTGTGGGATCAGAGTTCTCGCCTGACCTCATTTGACAGGGAGGGGAAGGGCCAGTGAGTAGCAGACAAGGGACAAGTTGCGGGCCACTTTGGGCTGGCTATGGATCCCAGTGTGTCCCAATCAGGAGATGTCCAGGGAAAGCCAGGTTTCTGGTGATCCCCAGAGGCTGGGAGTGGACAGGCATCCACGTGTGCATCCCCAGGCTGGAGCCCCCACGGTCCTTCCTGCATCTCCCCGGAAACCCTCCCCGACCTAACTGGATTCAGTAGCCAGCATGTGAACCTAAGCCGAGTGTATGACCTGGGCGGGGATTGAAGATAACCTCCCTGTGCCATGCTGTGGTCACCGAACCCCGACCGTCAGCAGCCAGAATGGGACAGACTGACCGTGGCCACTTACTCTGTTCAGACGGGTACTCTCGGGTGGGCAGGTAGACTGAGGGCCGTCGGTTCTGCAGGAGGGTTGGGAAGGGATGGGTTAGGAGAGCGCATGGGCCTGGGGTCTCATCCCTTGACTCGGCACCCACCCTTCAGTGCACATCGGAAGACAGTCAACAATGTGGATGGGGCTGGGCTTGAAGACCGGCCTCTGTTCCGGCCAAGATCCCAATCAGAGGACACACGATGCCCCCAGGCCCCCTGGAAGTGTCCCAATCCCTCCCAGCCCCAGGAACAGGCACTCACCGAGGCTTTGCACACGGAGTCCGCGTGAAATCGACTAAAATTGCTTTTGTTGTAGACAGGCAGTCCTTTCAAAAAATCTGCCTAGAAGACACGGAAGATGGTACATGAGAAACCAGGCAACGTGCCGGCATCCCTGGAGCACCTGCAGGGTGACTGCTGGCTTCCTTCTTCCCACTGTTCTTTGTAGTTCAAGTTTTCCAGAACACACCCTTGAGCTGGCTGCTGGATACACTGCCGGAAGCAGAGAAAAGTAACCAAGCCAGGCTACGTGCACGTCCTCCAGGGGGTTCTCATGACAGCCCCCTAACTAGGTAAGAGGTGGGGAAATTGAGGCTGCAAGAGAACAGGCCACTGGTTAAAAGTCATACTGCAGCGGGCTCGGGCCTGTAATCCCAGCCCTTCAGGAAGCCAAGGTGGGCGGTTCACCTGAAATCAGGAGTTCAAGGCCAGCCTGGCCAATATGGCAAAACCCCATCTCTACTAAAAACAGAAAAATTAGTCAGGCGTGGTGGTGCACACCTGTAATCCCAGCTACATAGAAGGCTGAGGCTGGAGAATCGCTGGAACCCAGGAGGCAGAAGTTGCAGTGAGCCAAGATCATGCCATTGCACTCCAGCCTGGGCAACAGAGCGAGCTTCCGTCTCAAAAAAACAACAAAAAAAGTCACACCGCAGCGAGTAAGCAGCAGGGTGGACAGTCAGACCTGGGCCCTCCCAACGGTCCACAAAGAAGGGGTGGCCGCGGCCCCCTGGGTGCAGCTGTGCTCAGTTAACACATTAAACTCCTAGGGCTGGTTTCCACCAATCCACCTTTGACAGGGTCCTAGGACAGAGACTACTCCATCCAAAGAAACCCATGCGACAGTGTCACAATAAACGGAGCTCAGGGAGCAGGGGCCTGGGTCTATAGGGGTCTCAGCTACACAGGAACAGGAGCTTAGGGTTCCCCCAGCTTCCTACGTCTGATCAAACCCAGAAATCTGCATTTGAATCTGTTCTCCAGATTTTTTGTTCTTTTTTTTTTTGAGACAGTGTCGCTCTGCTGCCCAGACTAGAGTGCGGTGGCGCTACCTTGGCTCACTGCAACCTCCGCCTCCCAGGTTCAAGTGATTCTCCTGCCTCAGCCTCCCCAGTAGCTAGGATCACAGATGCCTGCCACCATGCCCAGCTAACTTTGTTTTTGTATTTTAGTAGAGATAGGGTTTCACCATGTTGGCCAAGTCTCAAACTCCTGACCTCAAGTGATCCACCCGACTCGGCCTCCCAAAATGCTGGGATTATAGGCATGAGCCAGCATGCCTGGCCTCTCTCCAGGTTTTTAAAGCTGGCTTTTTAATTTTTATGATGGAGTCTCACTCTGTTGCCCAAGCTGGAGTGCAGAGGTGTGATCTCAGCTCACTGCAACCTCCACCTCCTAGGTTCAAGCAATTCTCGTGCCTCAGCCTCCCGAGTAGCTGAGTGTGGTGTGAGCCACCACATCCAGTCCCTTAAAGCTAACTTTTTAGAAAATGCTATGTGAGGCCAGGCACAGTGGCTCATGCCTGTAATCTCAGCAATTTGGGAGGATGAAGCAGGCAGATCACATGAGGCCAGAAGTTCAAGACCAGCCTGGCCAACATGGTGAAACCCCATCTCTACTAAAAATACAAAAATTAGCCAGGTGTGGTGGCGCACACCTGTAATCTCAGCTACTTGGGAGGCTGAGGCAGGAGAATCGCTTGAACCTGAGAGGCAGAGGCTTCAGTGAGCCAAGACTGCACCACTACACTCCAGACTAGGGGACAGAACAA